TTTATTTTTGTGAGTGTAAACTGTAATGGTAAATGTTGAATATTTTTGTAACTATTTAATTCTGATTTTTTTAAATTCTTATTTTAATTGTTTAATCCTTTTTATTTTGATTGTTAAATCCATTGTAATTCGGTTTTTTTTACTACGAAAATGGATTTTAATAAACCAACCAATATGAAATGGTCCTTCAAAAAACGTCTGAAAAGCCCCCAAATGTAGCTTCAAACCTTTGAAAGGTCATGAAAGGTTACATGAAAACAAAATTGCAAACTGTTTTCCCCACACAAAAAGCCCCCCCCTCGAAAATTCGGTCAATAGATCCGTTCTCGATTGCTGCACTCAATTTTATCATCAACATTAAAACATTCAGATTTCTTCCTTTCTCAGTGACAATCAAATTCATTTTAGGAATCAGTTCGGTTGACATAAACCCAAATCCTTTCTGTCTGAAGCCGATCTTCACTGGATTTGTTTACATTTGTATGTACAGTCTGTTCTCACTCTCAAAGCCTAACCGCATTGCACGTATGCCAACGTATGAAATACAGTAGTCGACCTATGCCGCGAAGAAAATATGGGGGGGGGGTGTTCGTTTTCAACTTGTATGCATTCGTCAAAGATGATGAGTGTCGCTTTAATGTGAAATTTGCCAGCACTGAGGAAAAACGGACTTGCTGAAAGTATTGTGAAGAGTTAGTCCATAAAAAGGCAACGAACATGTAGAGCATATGTTGGGAGTTTTAATGGTAACGTGACTGAGGGCCAGATATCTTACAGGCGCATATATGACACAACGTGCTGTGCTTTAGGCCTTTGAAAAATCAGGGAGCTTAGGCCTATATAAAACATTAAGGGGCGTACGAAAATATATAACTTTAAGCCATAAAACCACAGGTGTGATTTTAAACGTTACAGTGCTTTCTTTTTAATTTTCAGAATTTTTGGAAAGCTTCAATTCAAACGATCCCAGCAACTTCAGCATGCAATATGATGACCCGTCGCTTACAATTGCTGTGAAATTTGTGCTTGTAACTGAGGCGGAGTGCAAGATCTGAGAACAGTGCATGTTGTCCAGGGCCTACGAAACGTTTAAATCAAGCCCTGACTTGACCGGGGTCAGATGCGTCCAAAACAATCCTGAATTAATCGATAAACTAACGGAAAACTCTTCAGTCGTGTAACGTTCTTGTAATTTCGGGTTTGAGCCTTCGTCGCAGTTGAAATACCTTAGCAATTTTCCTGGCAGAAAAACCGAACAGAATCTCACGTCGGTGCTGTAGTTGTAACGTCATATCAGGAAGTACTGTTGAAAACCTACGCGCACCAGTATACCGCTATAATGTGTGTATGGCAAGAAATCACCAGACAACATTGAAGATAGCAAAATACTCAAAAATCTGGCAAAGGTTTCCTCCAAAATGACATAGCACTTACCCTTACAAACACGGGCCTGTATAGCATTAATTCTAAATATGCTGATGGCATTACAAACTTATAAAAGTAACTTTTGAGCACTGCAAATACTGAAACAGGTTTTAAAGGAACAGAAGTGCATTTTCAAGGACTGGATTTAAAAACACAATGCACTCACATTGGAACCTTTAATTTCCAAGGAAGCACCAAATACGTGCAGTTGACAGCAATTCCAAAAGAAAAAAAAAGATTGGTTAATGCCTTACCCGTAAATCGACACTGGGTATAGTTGATGGCTGCCACCAGCCCTGCCTCCCGGTTCCTGAGATTATCCCATCCTCCTCCTGGCAGCCCCTCAAATGTCAAGATTCGTTGGTCTTCCGGTAGGAGCAGACACCTCCGGGGGTCGCCATAAGGGAGATTATCGATGGAACTACCTTGAGAGACGTCTCGAAGATCACCTCCAAGTGAAGTACCGAGAAGGACCCCAAGAACAAACAAAAAGGCTGGAACTAGAGCCATTTTCCTCTTGGACAACCACAAACCGTACAATATTAGCCTGTACGTTAATTAAAGTGCTACCCAAAAAGTTTGAGTTTTGAGCACAATTTGTACACTCTGCATGGACGTTTGCGCTTGATTAATTAAACCCGACCGTTCCCTGTCAATAACAAGACCGTTGTGAAGTTTCCACCGGGAAGTTCCTGAGTTTAAAAGGGTACTCCCGCGTACTGCCTAAAGGAAAAACAGTCCTATGTCATGGTCATGTGATGCGGGGGTTGAAGAGGGAAAGCCCAGTATGTATTTCGAAATGTCAGTGCCAAACTCGAGGGCTGCATTGTATCGACTGTATTTTCCAGCGTTATTTCCTTGAATTTCAGGATTTGTTTTCAACATTTATGTGTCATACCTGGGAATCGAAGCATATTAAATGTTGTATTGTTGGTGGGCTTCAGAAACTCTTACAATCTCCATTTTAGACTCAAATGTACACGTTCTTGTCCTGTGAACATTGTATGCACATGGATGGTACGCGTTAACCCAAAAGAGCCAGACCGAAATTCTCTCCTTCAGCATTTTTCCGATATCACGGCAGTCCTGTTTTTCTTCAAGATTATAGAACCTGAATTTTCAGCGACTTGTTGCTGTCATTTTGACACAAATTTGGTGAAAATCAATTTATCAGTTTTTGCGTAGCGCCCATTTCCCCAACTATTCAGTTAAACCCAGAGTGACAGAATGCAATGGGTTGGACGTCTCTTAACAAAATGGTATTCAAAGAAAAAAATTGAAACTGCGAAATGGATCACATGCAAAACTGGGAACGTTTTATAGATCATAAATGCAACCAGGGTGGCGGCAAAAAATATAAAAAGCATCAGTAATGTGCAGTGACATGGTTTAAGTATACACTAATCGACTTTTACTTCGCTGGTGTCTTCATAGCCAAACTTAAGTTGTAAATGAACCTCAGCGGGTTGAAATTAAGGTTTTATTCTCAGCTGTCTCTTCTCTTTCGCAAGAATAATGATAAGGTTTAGTAACAGTAGATCATGCTGAAAAGATTAGTTGAGAACTGTCTGTCGTGAAACTAAACAAGGAAAACCAAACTAACTGGAACCAGTCACATGACGAAGCAGGTTTATGTGGGCCTAATATAGTGCATGGCGCATTATTTTCAGAGGTTGTTTCCTTCTGGGTGTTGAAACAATGGGATTTTTATGCATGTATATCCTTTTATTGCTTTGCCTTATGGGAGCACGGGTGAAGTGTCACTATCATTTTGTTCTGTCGTACTTTATGACCGCTTGTGTTAATCCCCTTTCTCGTATTTCAGAAAATTGCAAAGGTCAAAAGTTAATCATGCTTTGTTGCACAACTCAAGGAAGTAACCGTAGGACGATAAACTAACATGCAAGCGAAGGGTCATAACATTTAGGCAGAGGTAGTTTGGTTGTTGCGAGCAAAACCAATGGCACAAACCAGTGCCGGCCGGGCGATTCACGTTACTAAAATCCTACAATTTAATTAGCCGGCATGCAAATGGAGCGAGGAAGTGTGCCCGGGGCATTTCAACGGGCCCTGTATACGTGCGCTTTATACGTGCTACACACCTGCGGTGCATCCCGCTCTGCAGCGAGTGTTAAGTTGCGTGGCTCGTCTCCTATTGTTCCCGAATCAACTTCCACAGGATGCATGTGTCATAGGCTACCTGCTCCCGGTGATGGACACAGTGATCTGCCACAGCCATCCTCCTTCCCCTGAAAACAGAAATTCCCATCTTCCAAAAAAAAGGCACAATGAAAAAAAGGAAACCATCCATAACCAGACTAAATCAATATAGGTCCTTTTATCGTGGATTTGATTTGCTTTTGTCGCTATTTTAGTAGTTTTGTCCGCTTCTATCAGTTTAATGTTCCCTCTTTGCTTAAAGCATAGATAAGCGTATCATGTATACATTGCTATCACAAAGAGAGGTTTAAAACCTCTCTTTGTTCATGTTTCAATAATTATTTCCCACTTTTTCCTGATTTTTATACTTTAATTCTCAAGTTTTGCGATATGTACCTTTCAAATTGTGTTTTTTATTGGAGATGCATCACTTTGATTATGAATTTGCTGTTTTCTTTGTGAATAAAAACAAATACGGAAGCACTGACAAAGGTAAAGGTATAGAGACTGTAGAGTCTAGCAGTCCAGATAATTAGTTAAAACTTTAAAGGGCCAATTTTTGCTTCAAACATTCAAGTGACGGTCGATTTATTCCCGGACAGACAAGATTCTACCGTTATGTGTCAGGTGTTTTTACTACTTTCCCTCGTCACCGGAGTCAAGAAAATGTCTCGGCTGCTCTACTTATGGCCTCCTTCATTTTCTATAAAAACGACTCTTTGGAACAGCTTTTGTAATTTGGACCTTAATTCTTAATTACACCGGTGTATTACGAAGTTACGAAGTCGATTATTTCAATAAAGGAAATGGCTTCTAATCAAAAGATAGTACTCGTAAAGTAAAGACAGCGGAGACGAAGGTTAACTTGATCAAAATGAAGTTAAATCTTCCCAAATTTACTACGAAAAATTATACAGTCATGATAAGTTTTGAAACGACAAAAGGGATACCTGTATCCAACAGTAATGCGTGCAGAGGCGTGGGTATACCCATGCGATTGGGACGCGTCGCAGGTTTGGTCACCGCGGCTGGTCTTGGGTCCCTGACTGGTTGTCGCTACGCCTTTGTATTTTGTACGAGAATTATCCAACAAGAAGTTCAAATTCTGAGTGTGAACGATTTTATCTTCTTATATAGCAGCGACTGATAAAATAAATCTCTGCCAAGGTTTTTATTTTTTATTTTTTTTTTGGTAAACGAAACAAAACACTGGCAAGTATTAAATGTTATGGAGCTAGAAATGAAACCAAATATTGTGATTTTAAAATGTTGTTTTAGCTGAAACCAAGGCCAGTTCAAAATGAACTCGAATTTGTGACGGATAGTCGCGTTGCAAATTCGTAAATTTGAACACATTTCAACTCGACTGAAACTTCGTGACGTCGTGACGTCAAATTCGCTTCGCCTTAAGTATGAACCGGCCTGTCCATTGCATTTGATAGTTATCACTGTAGTGGGAAATGTTGTGAAAAGATTTCACTTTCACGTGTACACTCACATTTTCACAAAGTCGAAAAGTTATTTTGCACTTGTGTGAAAAGGCGTGATAATGTTTTCTCACTCATGGGAAAAATCTGTGGAAATCTTTTCCCACTTTGCTAAAAGTGTTTCCTGAGATGAGAGGAGTGAGAAAAGAATTTCCCATTCCACGTTACTACATTCAGTTGCATTCTACTGAAAGCGTGTGGAATTAAGAGTCCATCCAGTTGAAATTCATGGGCGCGAATTTCTGGTTAAAACGTCAATCAATAACGGTCGATTTCTATTCCCCAGACAAGTTTCTGCAATCATCACTTTTCCCTTAAAACGCCTTCGCTTTGCCTCTGTCTTATGTTTATGTGATTAACTGTAGGCAAACGGTGTCTGACGTAAATGTGTAAACATTACAATAAAAGTGGACTTTTTAGAAACCTCTACAATTTTATATGCTTCCCAGATAATATAATACGCTATTGCCAGGGGCTGCGAAGGGTATGGGGTGCGGCAACCCCCCCCCCTTATTAATACCCTCAGCAAAAAGAGCTTCGGTTGGCAAATGAATAAAAAAGTTATTACATAAACGATATAGGGGCCTACATTGGCCGTCGGGATTTCCCATCAAGCATGAATGATGAAATGTAGCGCTAGCGCGCGTACCACGGATCACTTGGAATTTTGCACGACACGACTGAGGTTGGCGAACAAGTTGTAAATCGGCAGTAGTGTAACTCAGGTCTTTTATGCACGGAATTATTTTAGATATTGTTCATTTTATATATTATTCAGTTAAAATCGTCAACCTGAAAGTAGGCTCACCCCTTTGCCACTTTCAGCATGGAGCAATTCCTTCTTTTACTGAACCTGAAACAAAAAGCAAATCAGGCTGTTTCATGGTGGCCTGGTCTGTACATGACAGAACTCGGCTTCTGGTTGCAGGCCAGTAAATAGGCAAAAAACCGCTCGCGCGGGCCAAATCACAATTTGTATCCACTGAAATTCTCTACGAAATAGAGCATTTTGTGGCTCAAGAAAGTGAAGACTTGTACGAAAGACAGGTTTAGGCTGGCAAAGAGAATAGCAGATTGCGTCTGAGTGATATTTGGGAGAAATCGGTGCCTAAATACGGTCTATTTTTTGAGAAGTGTAGGCATCGATATTTCAAAATGGCGAGGGGCTTCAAGACTGCATTTTAGGGGTGAGCTTCTTTGGAAATAAATATCGTTAAAGTCATCGGTTAATCAATGAATGGTAATTTGAAAAGAAAATGGAAAACCATGAACTGGGCTTTAGTCTGATGTGCGCCTCAAACGCCTAAAAAACTCGTGAATATATTTTTTGTCTGATTTTTTGAAGTCAGGTATTAATCACTGTTGGCTATGGCAGTTTATTTTACTAGCCTGCAACCTTATGCCAAATGTTGAACAGCACTGCTGTTACAATCTTTGGCTTCTACTTTGGCACGTGGTGCGGGCAACCAAGGACAGCACGTGGCCCATGCGCGTTGTGCTGTAACGTACATGTACATGTACTTCATCAGGGGTACTGTTGATTTGTCCGGTTTCGTAAATGGAAAATCGTCTGAGGCTCTGGCGGCATGGAAACTTACGTTCGTCATTTGAAAGACAGATGTTGCCGACCTTTTTTCCGAGGTAGGCGTAGGTAATTTGTCCGGTAGTACTGATTTGTAAAAGTTGAACTAAAACGATGTCATTGCCTCTGGAGCAGTTAGGGTTTCATTGCTCATGTAGATACAGACTAGATCTAGAGTAGACCCATGGCCGAGGCGTCCATGTGTCCACCAGGCGCCTAGGCAGTTGCGTACTTGTGTCGCGTTCCAGTGTGTTCAACACTTGTGTGGGTCATTGACATGGGGAGTGCAAATCCCCCATGCCATCAGCTGCTTTGCTGCATATGCCAAGCACATGGAGGAAGTTTGCAGATCCTCTAGGCTTTATCATCAGGTTTTATCCGCACCCTGTTAAAATTCAATGACGTGTTGTCTTGCTTCGTCTGCACTTTTTGATTGGTACACTCCTCACCTTTATTTCAAATGCAGTTTGCATGTGATGTCACTCCAGTACCATCGGAGGTGAATACAATCATAGCTCCATGATACAGTGTACACGTAGGGCCTAGTTAGGCTGAGACTCAACTTTTCAACACTCAAGCGCTGTGAAGAATGTGAACCCTGACCCCCGGGGGCTATTGAAATCTGTGCATATGTTTGTTGAATTCAGAATGGTCAGGGTTAAATCCTGCATGTACATGTACAGTATGCAAACAAGGGAGCACCATGGTCTCGTCTGAGAGTGAAACTGAGGGCCTGCATGGAGCTCCCTCCTCCCAGAGGACATGTTTTTTTTATTTAGATAAACACAAAAGGTTTACTCGAGCCTACCTTAGAAGTAAGAAATGCCCTCAACCTTGACGCATACCCAGGGGTCTGTTCCTGGTTTTGAATTTGAGACCATAACTGGTCCAGAGGTGTAATGCCGCTTAACTACATGTACATGTATTGTGGCTCAAGGCTAGTCTGAGTAACTTGGACTCTACAAATCACTTTTTTTAACATTGGGACATGGTCAGGCCTCATTTTTACATGTAGGATGCACATCTACAACTTCTCTTCTCATGGCTTAATGTGGCACTGCCCCTCATGTGGTGAACTTTAATTTTTTTTGCTTTTTGTGTCTTAATGAAGCAATATTTTCAGCTCAAATTTCACAATTAGTGAAACTTCGTGAAACTTCTAATTTTTTGATTCATAAATCGTGCGTAGTCCAGTTAATTCGAGTCAAGTCAAGAACTGAGCTTGAGTCAATTGAGTTAAAAATTTCTGAACAAAATACAATAAAAACACAACTACATGTAAGTCATTTTTTGGGAATTTTTATTTTCATTTAGACATACTAAAAATAAATCAGTGTGACACGTACATGTATCTAACCAACTTAAATTTTGCTTTAAATTTTTTGAGACTTGAGTCTTATAAACTTGTACTTGAGTCAAGTCTCCATGAGAGATTTTGGTTGAGTCATTTGGTCACAGAGACTTGAGTTGAGTCAAGTCATTTACCCATCGGGACTGAGTCGAGCCCAGTCACCAAATATTGGGACTCATATCGGACTGAAGTCTTTGACTTGAGTCATTACAACTATGGGCATCTTAATCACTTGCTGCCGGTGGCAGTTATCAATGTTGATGATGCTGGAGTGAGATAATTATCATTTTTTTCTGTTTTCAAAGTTCTTTAAAAAGTCCTATCTTTATTTACTGGACACATGCACCCACACGAAGGACTGTTTGGTGGCCACTCTAGCCTGACAGACCAAAAATCTATTAACGCCTGAGTATTTCAGCCAGGCCTGCAGCTTTGGAAAGGAGCCCATATTGTGTGGTGTTATATAACTTTTTTTTGTTCACGAACCTGGCACAGTGCACTGCTGACCTCTTGGGGCCAGATTAGCATGTAGTGGTGCTGTGTGGGCTCATCACTGCGGTGGTGGAGTAGTGCTTTTGTCCCCGGTGGTAATCCGCTTGTTCTAAATGCCCCAAACCGTGGTATACTGTTTCAAAACAAGGCTGGATTGTCTCCACTTTTGAAAGTGAAATATATCGGTAATGCCCAGCAGCCTGGTCTGTTGTTCTGAGTACAGTCTTTTGTTACAAGGCCCAGTTCTCTTTGTCCGAGTTTGGAGACCCCGGCCACACATATAAAGCACACATGCCCGGTACCGGAATCCCCGGCAAGAAGTGGTTAAAAAAGGAAAGTTGTTTCTTGAATGTGACTGATTATTTTTGTAAACCGTCATCTGTCATGTCTGTTTCATTCTGACGTCCTCTTTCGAATGGCACCAAGAAATCCAAATTTCCATCACAAATGACTGGTTTAATGGACAAAGTCAGAAATTCTTTGCACTAAATACATATAGCAGTTTTACTATTGAACTCACGCTGTTCAGAGATGGCTTTTTTGTCAGAATTACGCAAAGTTTGCTGGAATCTCCAAAATGCAAGATACCCATGTAAAAGCGATGAGAACAAGGGCTGAAAATTGCTTTGAAAGAAATGAGGACGTGTTGAAGGACACTGGGCTTAGGCAGCTTCGAGAATAAGCCCCTAATCGTGGTTGTCCGAATTTGGGATACAGTGTACATATACTTAATGCTTCACATTGTGCAAACCTACATGTACATGTATGATGCATCTGGTGCCAAGCCTTTTCTGACACGGTCCATTCAACTCTTTTGTGCTCAGTTGTGTGTGACAGAAATGTAGGATTTTTTGATGAAACAGATATTTTCCATGTACCGAAATAATGAGTCATATTCAAGAAACAGATTAATGAATCTTGGATTCCTTTTTTTAAGAAGCCCTGTACAGGAATAATCACGCATGTTTAGGTCAAATTCACTTCAGTTGAGAAAACTAAAACTGGGATCTGTTCATAAAAAAGCTCACAAGTTAACATTAAGCAGACGTATTGTACATGATGTCAGTAATGCTGCCTTAGAATGACCTTGCATTTGTGTGTCTTTATGTTTGTCAGGAAATTGTTGACTTTAACATACTTAAGCAAATTATGAAATGGGTTCTAAGTATTCATGTTTTTAAGTTCAGTGGGAAACGTACTGGTGGTAGTAGATGTACGTGTACCAGGCTTTCCACAATATCGCACTACCTACATCTACATGTAGGTACATGTACAATGTGGGCATTAGTGTTAGGCGATTTGAGCATTTTTGGAATCAAGTCCGATTCCGTCCAGGAATCGCGATTCCACTCGGAATCGATTCCAATTTTTACATGCCAAATGCCATGTTGAGTATACTCGAGATTACGTGCAAAATGCACTTGTGAGTTGTTTCCTAAACACTTCTGTCATTAAAAATTATCCCCTTTTATTGCATCGAAAACAGGAAAGATTTATTATCATTACAGAGTTTCAAATCAGAAATTTTAACTTGACGGAAGCACATCATTTATGGGAAAAGATTATCAATCTACGTAGCCCACCGGCTTTCAAGTTTTCTAGTTTATATACATGTAGAAGTGACCAGGAGTTGTAAAATCCGTATTTGACCAGAAAGAAACATACTTACAGTATGTACCTTTATTTTCATGCCGCCAAAAACGTACTGAAGAAATATTTTTTCCCTTAAAGACCCAAAAATGTGACCTTATTCAACCGACGATGAACTATGATAGTTTTCTCTATCTTTCCATTGTAAATTCCAGTAAAAACTGGACTGCTCATGCGCCGCTCAGCACCGCTTGCGTCAGCGGCCCGTTCATGCAATCGCTGGTGAAAATGTTTAAAGCTACATTCTTCCTATTTGTATGTCTGCTGCCAGCTCCAACATGAGGCCGTTAGTCTTGTTCCAAGGCAGAGATGAAAAATTTTGAGAATTGCTCATTTGACCTTCAATTCACTCAACAGGTTGAGTAGAATTTCTTTTCTTTATTGCAGAAATGAAGGATGAAAAGTAGTCAAAGATTTGTGTTTTGGCAGAGTGAATGACGGTAATCATGGTGCATGTCTTACAGACTCAAACATGAAGCATCCGCAATGAAACGCTTGCAGTTGGCCCACAGCCACAGGTCTGTACTTCTGTGCACCAACGGAGAGCGGTCGATGAATGCAGGACTATTAGAAACATGCATGAATTTGAACACCGATCTCCACCTGGGCTGATGCCATTGCCGATCTCGTCAGCTTCTCTTTCTTATGAATGGTTTAAATTTAGTTGGCAAACCCTGGAAATATTTGATCCAAATATTTGATCCGAATAACTTCGGATCGCTGATTTTATGTCAAGGTTTGTGGGATCTGGGAAATTGTTCAAATGCTGGCATCATGGGAATGTTCAAATGTTTCAACAGTTACTTGCATTTCGATTTTTTTATGGTAAAGGAAGAACTAATATCAGGTAAAGGGCTGCATTGTTTAGGTGTTTTCTTTCAGTTCTGAGCAAATTTTTGTAATATGTGACGAAGTACATGGAGGCCTACCGAACTTTCTCCACCACAGTTTGCTTCGATCTTGAAGATTAAAACGCGACGTTGGGCCAGCGGAAGATTTTGTTTTTAAAAATAATAAACACTCCGAGGAATGAGTTTCTAATTGGTGTCGATCCTTCAGATGTTGCAATTGAGTTTCCAATAAGAATTAGAGGGTAATCAGTGACAAGAAATTTCATTGCAAAAATTTAGCGTGTGGGAAAAACTTTGATGTATATGTACGTGTAGTTTTCATCACTCACAATGTAGCACCCAATTGCTCAGCATGTTAAGGAGTCACAGTTGGTAACAGTGGACCATCGGTGCGCTGCAGACAAATGGGTCGGAGTACTGCACAGTGCCGCTGCGATTCTGCAAAGCATCTGGGCCACGTCTCGTCACAGACTTCAGTTTTTGGCAACGGAAATAAAGCTGTGCGGTTTAAGTTCCTGGATTTGGCATAAAACCACACATATTTTCAAAAATCCACAGATCATTTTATATAGCAGTCTTTTGGAATCGCTGGACTGTTCCTGGAATCAGATTTCAAGGTCATGGAATCGGCGTTGGCGTGGATTTGATTCCTCAAAAAAGTGGAATCGCGACTCCAATTCCAAATTTGGAATTCTACCCGATTTCAGCGTGGATTTGCCCAAGCCTGGTGTGCATGCTCGGAAAAGAATCAGCAAAAAAGACCTGAGTATATGCCACCGCAAAGCGTCTAAAAATCTCTCATTCATGCTGAATTAATGGAGATTCCTCTTTTCCTTTTGTCACCAAACAGGCAAAGAAGGATTTTTTTTTCTGATCTGGCTCCGATGTCACTATATCTTCAGCGTCCACAGATCATCACTGCAGGAAGCCTGCTGGAAAATCACGGATGTCTACATGTACATGGTGTTGGTGTGCAAAATTAAAGTAATTTTCTCAAGAAACATTGACGACTGGAGTTGGAAGTGACAAGTTTGCTTTGAGGATGCAGGAGATAGTCAAATAGATGAGATGAAATGGATGCAGTTCAACAGGATGATTGACAGGACTAAGAGACTCGTTGAGTGCCAGATAGTTTGTCATTAAGGTACAGTTTGGCCAAATGAAAATGTAATATGTTGAGTCATTTATTACCTTCATTCATTTTGAAGCCTTGCTTCAAAATGACTTCAACCCTTCCCAAAGTTTAAAAGGTTTTTGAAATAATGTGCATATTTTGTTTTCAGTACGATACAAGAGAGAATGTGTTCAAGTAGACTACTGCAGATAGCCATCTTAGAACAGAAGTAACATGTAAAAAAAGGCTGCTGCTACGTGTAGCTCTTTCTAAGAACAAATGGTGGTGATGAACATTTTGGTCATGGTCTCAATGTTTTGCACATGACAAGAAATTAATAAATGGACTTCTGGGGGATTACTGGTGAAACAAATCAAACTGTTATAATTTCCAAAAAGGAAAAATTGGGTGATTGCTTATTAAATATTTATTGCACTATTGGGTGGGAAATAGGAGAGGTTGCAGCCTGGCGGTCCGCGCGGTCCATTTTCCGGGGATTATCCCTCTTGATCGCCTGGTGGGTCAGTCAGTATACCATCACGCACGATATGACTCATCCACTTTTTTTATCATACGCAAGGTCAAATTGCACCAAAAATTTTTACCCCGTGCTAGGCCTTATTCCTATTTTATCCCACACACCAGGGTCAAACTGTACCAAACTTTCTGACCATATCCTATGCCCATCCATTATCAAAGGTCATTCTGTACTATCATTTTTCACCTTACACCTCATTCCTATTCATATCGATATCATATTATTATTCTACTTATGCATATTAATGTGACTTTTGCCATTTTTGTCCCACAGGTCAAACTGTACAAACAGTCCCCCCCACCACTTCCATGTACCATAGAAATTGAGATTTAGGAATCCGTTTGTATGCAAGTCCATGTAAGGATCCCTGCTTCTACAGTGAAAATGAAATGTGGTTGAATTACTGAATGTTTAGCTCCCATCATACTGCATGTACTTTGTATTCAAAGTTGTTTGGGTTTTTTGCTTCATACTTTGTCGATTGTAGATGAAGCTCATGTGCTGCATGTAGGTTCCTGTTCTGCTAGCTCCTGCCCAGGTTTGATTTATGCATCTCTACCCATCCCTTTCTTCTGTCCCCTTCTCCATCAGGTAAGACCTTTCTTTTTGATATTTCGTTTGGCTACATGTACATCTTATCACGGAATACCCATGGTCAAGTTCTAGATGAGCACTTAAAATTATTGAGGTATATACCATAAACATTATTTTATGAGTGATGGTTACAAAAGTTGTTTAAATTGCCTTTTGCGGGAGGATTATTTTGAGCACTTCACCCTAACAATCCCAAACCAACCAAATTCCAGCACCAAGGTTTGTTGGAATCTGGTAGGATGAGTACTGCACTGGTATACTGGCTGTGTTTATGTGGGATTAGGCATACCACAAATAAATAGATGCAGTCCAGATGCACAGTTTTATAGGCCTTTTTACACTATAGCCTCTCAACCCAGGTTGAACCCAACCAGGGCGAACCCATGACCACCTTGGGTTTAAAATATGATTTTTCACCCTTGCGTTCAACCAGGCTTCATTTCAACTTGTCTCATGCTTTTTTCAACCTGGTGATGAGCATGAATGATTCACACTTGCCACATTACTGTACGAGCCGAGGCGAGTATGGTTGTGTTCTGTTTTGAAAAAATCCCACAAAGCAACTTAGCAGCATGGCTCCTGTTGACATCCTGTACAAATCATTCTTTTGATATTTTACATGGACTTTGAAATATGAAAATACTGAAAGAATGAGGCAAGACAATATGGGACACCCATGCCAAAACCAGGCTCTTCCTGCAAAAAAACAAAATTGAGTTTCTCCCCTCATGAGATGGAAGAGATTATAAGCTTTCAAATGAGACCAATAAGGGGGTCATAGGATACAGATTTCTCAAAATACAGAGTTTACAAGACGGCCATGTGGTAAGTTTTAGAAAAATCAATCATGGAGAAATAGGGCTTTGAAGTTAATACACAAGAAAGCACTCTTGCAAAGCATTCACATGAGTTACAGTGGCTGTTTTTGTATTTTCAATAAACATTCACAAAATCAAATGAGCGGACTTACAAATTGTGTAACTGTGTCTAGGAGTCAATAAAGTTGCACCCACCGGTAATTCCTTTCACTCGCGAGTAACAAGCTAGATGAAATGACGAAATTTCATAATGAGTACGAGGCTCCTTGACAAATAATATGGGCACACGAAAGGGAAGTCCATCACTCACAAGTTTATAACGAGGGGTGGGGAGTGCCTCCCTCGTTCGCCTTGCATTTTGGAACAGCGCGTAGCACTCGCTCGAAGTTCCTGCTCAGTGGAGACGTTCGTACATGTAGTTGGGCTGCACGGACATAAGTTACCAGGTGTTGCATATTTTACAAAGAATGACAATATGAAAAATAACCAAATCTAATATTGGCACCACAACATACAGTTCAGATTTCAAACCAAATGCGAATTACGTGCATGTTTTTCAATTGGAATATACGTTCAACTGTTCAATGAATAACGGCGTGAAATCCGTCAAAGGAAACAAAACAGTTTCCACGAATCTTGTTGATGTACCCTAACGTGGTGCGGCCCCTAACATGGCGCTCTTTCGTTTTTCGCCTCTTGTGTCTTACCGGAGCAATACTGTACATCAAATCTCACAAACAGAAAAGCTTCATCAAACTCCCAGTATTCTGATTCATAGATCTCGATTTTATGTTCCTGAGATGAAGTTCCGATAAAAATTTATTTTTGCCCAATTTTCCAATTTTTTCCCGACATACAATATCAAGGCTTTTAAATTTGCCCAAAACAATGAAAAAATGACAAACTTGAAGATGAGTTTGGGGTGGAAGAAACCGTGCTCTACAAGAATGTATCAACTTTAAAGAACTTTGTGTGTGATTTTCTGAGATATTTTTAAATTAAAGTGCGCCACATCAGGGAGCACACAATAGAATTCAAGCCCAATTTCCGGATGCCAACATTTGGATTTGGGACGAAATTTCATGACACTGAAGTTGTTCACAAAGGTCCAACATCATGTATCATGAGGGTGATACTATCAGTATTTATCCAAATGGGTCTTGAGATTTTCAGCGGAAAAGTTTGGCAATGCAGTGAGAGGAAAATCAAGTGAAGGTTGATGTGCGCCATGTTAGGGGACTTTACTATAGTGGTAGCAAACGACACTTCCCCCTGTCCCCGGCCTGCCTCAGCTTTTCCACAGCTTTATTAAGTGAATGACCCAATGTGTGGTGCACCAATCTAACTTGTGATTTTGTGTCTTTGATACGGCTCTTCAAATATGAAATGAGGGGCTGAAACAGTTGACCTAAGCAGGGTAAGTCAATTATTATGTATATTGATTTATTTATTACCCATTTACACGTATCTAGCCTTCAGGGTATTGATGTTGAGTATCACGTAGGCCTGTCTGAATAGTCAGAGCTTAATAGGAAACTTTACTTGTAAATCGTGAAGTATTTTCATCTGGGATGGGACTATTCAAAAAGCTGCCATCTGTTCTCGGATGAATTAAATTGAAAACTGTTTCTTAGTTTTTGTTGACGTCTTTTTTAAAGAAAATAAATGTACACTTATGTCATTCTACTTTGCCTAATCCAAGACAGCGTCAAAGAGTTATTGCTTTATTTGTTACGTACGCCCCAATTCACAGCATGTAATAAAACAAAGGATGGTACTTTACCGCAGTTGTGTAATACAAAGGGGAATTCTTAGTTTTGGCATGAAAATTTACAAAACGATGAATAATGGCTCTATGGAGTAACAGGCCTATCTGCTCAGGATAAAATTTTGTTAAGGACCCACTCACATGCAAATAGCGTAACTGGTAACCAAAGTCAAGCCCAGTTATCTCTCACGTGGCAATATATGACACAGCTACATGTATGGCAGAACTTCCATAAAGTTTTACATAAGTTCATAGGAGCGTTAATGAAGGTATTACGAATTACATTTACTGTATATATTTCCTTTTTCATTCGATGGTTCTATTTTGTAAGAGTGTTACAATGGAGTAAAAAAAAATCAGAATCTTTCTTTTAATGTTGCAAGACACATGCATGTACATGTAGGAAGTGTATAAAATTGTAACTAAAGCAATTGGAAATAATACCTCTTGCTGGATGTCATCTCCTTGCTGGATGTCATCTCCTCGCTGGATGTCATCTCCTTGCTGGATGTCATCTCCTTGCTGGATGTCATCTCCTTGCTGGATGTCATCTCCTTGCTGGATGTCATCTCCTTGCTGGATGTCATCTCCTTGCTGGATGTCATCTCCTTGCTGGATGTCATCTCCTTGCTGGATGTCATCTCCTTGCTGGATGTCATCTCCTTGCTGGATGCCATCTCTTTGCTGGATGTCATCTCCTTGCTGAA